AACTCCTTTTATTATACAGCGTGTTGATGATATTCTGCGATTCATCTCAGACTTCACGATTTATGTAGATGGGGTGGGAGATGTGTGCAGGTTCTCTCTTGATGTTTCTTAAGAAATGAATTTTGTTATCATATATTGCCACTGGGTTTTTAAAACATTTAACATCATTTATTCTCTGTGTTTCAATAGCCTAAGCTTGTTTGACTTCAGAAGACATGGAAATAGAAACTATGCTTCACCATTTGATGCACTTAAAACGCTTAGGAGCTCCCAAGGGAAAATGGAGAAATCATTTTTAAGGTACATTTAATTTCAAGTTTGAATTACTTCATGTGTTTCTTACTAGCTATTATATTGTACTCATATTGTTATTAAAAAGATATCTTAAGGGCCATCATTTGTTTATTGAAATGGCTTTGGTGTACTTTAGTAGTTCTTGGCTCTGAGGTTGTACTGTGGTATGATTTGCACGCTATTGTTATTTCATACTCTTGTTCAAACTAGGGGGGTATTTTAGTTCTATGAACATTTTACGAGGAAATGTGTTAGTTTGTCTATGTAGTTTGCCCATGTCAACAGCATAGTGCATATGGTCTAGACTGTACAAGTCAACATTAACTATGGATATATGATGAAAATATTTCTCAGAAAATCACAACAAATGTGTTTCCAGCATTTAATTGAATTTACCAGAGTATTATTTGAGTATACTGTTTTGTCCATAAATATGGCCAAAGCTGAACACTTGACCATGATACTTTTTTGGGTGTCTTCTTGTCAGCACTATAGACTCTGTAGAATATAGGCACTACGGTGCTGCCCTCGTCACATCATATTCCAAGAAAGCGACATCCATTTTTGGTTTAGTACTTTAGTCCACCATGTACATTGCATTTTCAAGAGTGAATAACAGAATAAGCAAAGTTGTACTCCAAGTTTCACTTGAGGCTTAATTTGGTCCTTGACGTTTCAGTCCGTCCATATTAGACCATTAGTCCTTCATGTTTTCATTTTAGTTCAAACTCATCGTTGGACCCACTTGTGAAGACATATAGCTAAATCTAATTAGCATCTCTCTTGATAAATGACTATTATTCCCTAATTTCACATGTATAAGAAAAAGGAAAAGAAAAAGACAAATATGTACTATTTGGCCAGTGAACCTGTTTCTCAAGACCCCTCCAATACCCAATGGTTGTGTGCTGTTTTTTTTTTTCTGTTGAAATTTGTGTACAATGAGTTCTCTTAGATAAGGGATATTTTGTAATAGAAATGTTGACTTATTATTGGCTAATCAAGTGGGTGCAAGTATGATTTCGAACCAAAACGAATACTTAGAGGACCTGTGTGGACAAAATAGAACTTAAAGGACCAAATTGAGCCTCTGGTGGAACTTTAGGGACTAGATTAGCTATCCACCCAACTTCCAACTGTATGCAATGTGCCCTGCTGTTGTCCTACAGGCCTAATGGATACTGGCCACTTTGTACTATGTATAGTTAGGAGGTTTTAGTTAGTCACAAGTGTTGCAGCCAAGGGTAGATCCAGGCGTAGGACACAACGCCCTTGTAATTGGTTGTTACCAATTGCAAAATTCGAAGATACAAATGGCCTAGCTTAATACAAGCTAGCTCAGCCCAAGGTTTAATGCTAAAAATAGGTCTAATTCTATTATATGATTGTTTACAGTTTTCAAAGTGTGTATCCATCATGGGAACCAAATGCAGAAGGCAAACAATTCTTAACTAACCTCCAAAAGTTCAAGGAAAAGCAAATACGGCAGCAGGCTCTTGCACAATATCAAGCAATGGAAGCATCAGGCTTTGTGGCAAGCACCAGAGGTCACAGGGATGATATCTTCCACCAACTACTCCCTAGTGATATCCATAACCGTGCTGAGGCCATCTCACCTGCTGTTTACAATTTGGGCCCGTTAGGATTGCTTGACACAGATCAAAGAAGTCATCCATATATTCTGGATTGGTACTACGTCTGCCATCCACCTCACTTGGATAGAACCGAGGCTCCTTATTTCAACGAAGTGTTCCCTGAGACCAGTGAGAACACAGGTTCAGCAGCATTTAAAGCATCTGAAATTGAAGAAGCAAGGGGCTGGGACTCTGATATGGTTCCCCCGCCTCGAGCAGATCGCGATGAGTGGAACTTTAACCATGAAAGGGTTCGAAGCCATATGGATGCATCGACATCAAGCAATTTGTTTCATCATGCTCCAGTAGAACACCATGATACCAAAGGAAATATTATCGATTGGTGGGATCAAGCACCTGAACATTCTACTGGTCAACAAGGAAGTTTTCTGGAGCCTCCGGAATTTGGAAATCGATATGTTGCTGGTAACCGTTCCAGTTATCACTCTGGTGATGTGTCTGATGGAAGTGTGGAAGAGCTTGAGCGAAGCTATAACAGAAGTAGCAGCAGCTGGAGAAGACCTCAAGATTTGTCCACTACAAGGTATATGGACGACTCTGACATTGAGGAAGGGTTGAATCTTCCTTTTGCTGATCTCCCGCAGAAGGATGAAGATGCTCGACATGGCACATCTGATACTAATGACCCCACGCCAGTCGGCCTTCCTGTAAGAATAATTCCTAGAAGCAGTGACCCTGTTTAGACTGAAAAGCTCTCAGATACGTATGTTTGTGCATGGTTGTAAATATCTGTGTGAACCACGTCACAAACTTCACCAAAACTGGCAAACGCCGCAAATTCATTTGTACAGAACCACATATTACCTCACTGTATAGTCTTCTCCCTGCCCTCCTAGGGATTGTGGAGCAGGGGAAGAACCATTCTTTTGCAGCACGAAATGCATGGATCCAGTTGTTGCCTCGTTTCATTTTTTTTCCTGCACTATGTTAATCAATTTATGCAGTGATTAGCCATTGCCGCATTACAGACCTTGCAACCATGAAAGTACTGTCAACTTCAAGTACTATCGCTGTTCCTGTAGTAACTTGTACAGTTCTACCTGATGGCTCTACAGGAGTACAGCATAAAGCAATCAGGACATGCAGTTGATCCAGTGATTGATCAGCAACCCAAGCTGTATGAAGGAATCCGATGCTGGGGGCCATTACCTTGGTCGTCCAGACGGGCAAGGGTCGAGGCAGAGGGAAGCGTCTAGCCGTCTACCTTGCTTGCCAGGCACTTGACAGTTCTTGCCAACTGGAGCTGTCATTTTTAAGGCACTAACAGAAAGAAAAAAAAGTATTTGTGAGTATGTACACTCTTGGGGCCAGACAGGACGCCAGCAGCTCTAGTTTCATTGTCGAGATCGAAGCCAGGAAAAGGGTCGTCCTCTGAAAACGATGCCGTTTCGATATGCAGATTGGTAGGAGTAGGTCTAGCACGCGGCACGCAACAATACCGACATAGTCCAGACCAAACCCCTGCAGCAATTGGAGTAGCAGAAAGGCTGGTTGGACCAGCTGAGATCCGGGCCCAGAAAACACAAGCAGAAGGAAAGGGGACCCTGATGAGCAGCATTGCCATCTACTGCTATTCATTGTTCTTCGCCCAATGCTTCACGTCCGGATAAACTTGCAATGAATTCGAGCTTCGAGTCCGGTCATGATTTTTCTTTTCATTTTTTCAGTCTTCTTACCGGCTGATTCTGATCGAGCTCGCAAATCGTCATTTCACCAAATTGCCAACTTGGCTAGCTTCGATCATAAATCGGCTAATCCGTGGCGGTTTCCCGCACGTTTTGCTCCCTATGGACGCTACATCCACCCGTCGTCCTTGGAGGATTCACGTGACAAGGAACCCTACGGCTCACCCCCAAAAATCAATCCCCAATTAAGTTTTGGTACGAACTTGAGCTACCTACATCATGCCCATCTCCGACGGAAAAGAGGGAAACGGAAACTAAAAAGGTTACAGGTCGTTTTCTTCCGTTGAGCTACTACCACGCACAGCTGCCCCGAAAGCAAAACCGAGATCGTATCGTCTCGACGTTTCGTTGGCACCAAGGCATGCACACGCCTCGGTTTGGTTCAGCTCGATTCGATCGGTGGCAGTTGGCGGTAGGTCGGCAGTTGTTGGGTTTCTCCTCGATCGCTTCGTAATAAAACCTGCAGGCAAAGAACGTTCAGAAACCGGTAAGCCGGTTCGTTCCGCACGGCGTGACATGGTCCGGTTAAAAATTCTAAGCGAGCGTCAGCGTCGTCCTCGTCGCGCAAGGAATTAAACCCACGGACTTCGTGTGCATCCTGGTGCGTTGATAAGAGGAGAAACGGCCATAATTCCAACGATGATAGCAAGGCACCGCCCGGTCCGTGCGAGTACGTGGTTAAATACTTAAGCCGCGCGCGGTGATGCGAGGTGTGAGCAATTGTGATATTTTCCCCCTCTTTAATTGTTGTTTCTTTTCACGGGGACAAAAGCCGTGAGCACATATGTCACGCATGGACACCTAAGTGGCCATTGGACTCTCTCAAAACGACTTTTTAATGAGGCTGTAGCAATGTCAAATGGTTTTATACGCATGGACAGTGAAGCTTTGTCGGCAAATACATTGAAAACGGTTACTTCTTCGTGGTAAAGCGACGTTCGTACAAAGGGTTTTTGACATGGATGAGGATTGGAGCACAGTTCTTTAGTTCAACCTAAGCATGTTGAATCGGCTGTCATATTCCGTTGATTAATCGTTCTTGTTGCCTCACTTCGTTTAATTTAGACTTTAGATGATTCTAGTTGGTAATATTTTTAGTGTTCTCGGATTTCTCTTGTCTGGCCACATGGCAGCGCTTTTGGACAACTTGTAAACAAGTGGTTACAATTACAATCAGCAGTGATAAAAGTAAATTATTCAGTTGCCACAGGATATGTAAAGATTGCGTGTGTGGAATGAGTTACGTTAATATTTATGGGCCGCTAATACACCAGTTACTAGGCTCCTATAACAATCAGGCAAAAACAGTTCACAGAAAACATGCCCCCATTTGCATTGCATACAACAGGTGCCTGAAGGGATCAAATGAGAATTGACACTAGTTGCATTTGCAGGTCAAACATGATAGTTCCTTTTAGTTAAACATCATTAAGTAGCACTTATGTACAAACCCTATTTACATTCATCTTCTATCTGTCTATTTCCATGTAAAAGATGCATGACCCACCAACGCGTCCCTTTAAACCTCCAAGCTGTTAATTACCGACAAGCAGCCTTTTTCATTTCTACTATATACACGTGACAACTAATAAATCCTAAAAAAAGAGCATAAAAAAATCTACTCAATTTACAAACTAACCCATGGACCGCCCCCATATTTACACAAGCATGCCATCGGATCGGACACGTCATCTGTACTCACGAGCAGGATCTTATGAGGCCAAGGCTGAAGAGGTTCTTCTTGACGAGGCTCCCCAGCGAGAACAGCCCGCCGCCGCCGCCGCGGCCGGCGGCGTCGCCTTCCGCCGAGCAAAGGCGCGGCCACCGCTCCTCGTCCACCCGGAGGCTCTCCGTGCCGATCCTCTGTATCACCTCGTCGATCGTCTTGGGATCGGCGGGGCGGCCGGCCACGTCGGTGACGTGGAAGACGTTCATGGCCATGTCGTCCCTTGTCGTGATCTCGGCGTGCGTCACCGAGAGGCCGTTCTCCCGGAACACGCGCGTCACGTAGGCGAGCAGCCCGCGGCGGTCGGAGATGCGGAGCTCGAGCCGCACGCCCTGCACACAGAAAAAAGATCGCGTCAGACGGACGGGCACCGCGCGCGCTGGCTGGGATTTCGGCCGAACACATGGGGGGTGTAGTGGAAAGTCGGGCAAGAACGAAAGTGACTTCGCGGCTTGGTGCTGCGAAGTGGGCACAGCACAGCACGGCCGCGATCGGTGGCGTGGCATGGAGGGAAAGCAAAGGAGATACTACTGCTACTCCATCACGTACCTCGGATGCGCGCCTCTCGATTGCCGCTTGCAAGCATCGGATCACATGCTGCCTCTCGGCCTCCGAGCTGATTGGCCGCCCGTCCGAACGCCGTATGTAGAACTCCTGCAAGCGGTGAAGCCAAGCAAACATAGCTCAGGTTAAGCTAGTACACATGTATACCCAAAAAAAATGCAACTTTTAATCCAACATCGCGAAGCAGAACACACGAGGCAAATAGCAACTATTCCATCAGCCTCACCAAATTCGAAATCATAATTTCCATCGACGATGGGGCCGACATAGGAATAGCAGTGAAATCAAACAAAAAAAGAAGGGAAACGGTAAACGTCATTAGAAAGCAAAAGCGAGGTAAAAGAATTTGGGAAAAAAATGACAGAAGACGATTCGCCTAACACAACCACCCAAAGAAACATCTAGATTCGTGAGAGGAAGCCAGCTCAACCAAAGAGAAGAACAGAGTAGAGGGGAATTGGTAACACCGAACCCAAAATTAACAATGAGACTTGGGGAAATTGGACCAACCAAAACAAATCTTGAAAGCTGGATGATGGGGAGAAACAGCTGGAAGGCTCACCTGCTGCGCGTGATCGCCGTCGGTGTCGAACGTGCCGTGGTACACCACGTAATCCAAGTCCGTCAAGGTGCAGACCACGTCGAAGAGCAGCTTCGGCCTGTCGCGGCAGCTCACGGTCACCACCGAGTACCCTCTCTCCCCCCAATCCTGCACCGCCACCGCCGTCATCGGCGCGGCGCCGCGGCTGTCGGCCTCCCCGTCCTCTTTCAGCAGCTGGTGGAGCCTCCGGTCCAGGTTTCCGGCCGCCGACGGATCAGCCAGGACCGTCCTCGCGCAGCGCGCGCCGCCGCGGAGGACGTGCCTGAGGCGGGACTCGATGCGCCTGACCCGGGCCGCGTCGTCGATCGGCGCGCCCGTCTCCTCGTCGCGGACGAACACCAGCGCTGCGACGCGGCCGCCGTGCGTCCACGCCCTGGCCTCGACGGTGTTACACCGGAGGTCGTGCAGCACGGCGAACACCTCCGAAAGGAGGCCCGGGCGGTCGGCGCCGACGAGCTCGAGCAGGGTGAGCCCCTCCGCGGCGGGGCCGCCCGCCGCCGCCCGCGGCAATGCTTCCGCGGACAGCGACGACTCGAGGCGCGCCAGTAGCGCGTCCGCGTCGGCCACCTTCCTCCCCGCGGCGTCCGTGACGTGGAACACGTCCATGAACCACCGCCCGTCGTCGGACGAGATGTACCCCTTGCGGACGCACACCCCGTGCTCCGACAGCGCCGCCACCGCCTCCAGCAGCATCCCGTGCTTCCGCGCGCTGTGCACCTGCACCAGCGTCGCCGTCGCGCACACCCCGCTGTCCACCACCACCCTGTACCACACCGCGCCCGCGCGCAACAACAACAGCACCCTCACCACCCGTTCGATCGATGATCCCAAACCGGAACACACCACAACAGCAACAGCAACGAGAACCCTTACCTCGGGGTGTTCATGTGCCGCACGAAGAGCTCATACACCTCGGAGGGATGGTACCGCTCCATCGCCTCTGCCGCTGCCGCTGCCGCTTCAGTTTGCCCGCCTCCCGCAACGGTTTCTTCCCAATAAATTTCCTTCGAGACGGCGAAGAAGTTTTTTTTTTCCGCTCGGCGGAGTGGAACAGGTTCGGTCGGGCGGAGAGCGGTTCAAAATCGGGCGAGGAATTGGAAACGGTGGGTTTTTGGCTGCCGCTGCGCTGCGGTTGGCTGTGCCGATGCTCCCTTGTGAGGTGGCCGCGCCGGGCGGGGGGGTTGGGTTGGGTTGGGTTTGGCTCAGTCAGCGCCCGTCTAAAATGGGGGCAAAAGATTGGCGCGGTTTCGGCGTTGGCTCCCTGCGAGTCAAATGGCGGTCGCGGGAGAGGACTGGGCGAGTGGAATTGTATGCAGTCGCGGGGTTGGACTTTGGACCGAACTCGGCTGCCTGGAACGGGGAATTCTTTGGGAGATGTGGTGGTATGGGAGAGGGTGGCGTGTGGAAAGTTTTTGTAGCGTTCGGACAGGGGAAAGCGGCTCGATTGGGGAAGAGAGACAGCTTCACTGGCCCATCCCTGGTGGCCACCTGTCACCCACTTTTCCCTTTTCAGATTGTTCTTTCTTGTGTTCAGCTGCTACCTTGTTTGCCAAACCAGTGGAGTGTTTACATGTAATTTATAGATATAAGTAGGGAAAATAGAGGTTCTGCTATTATGCTCTCTTCCTCTTGTTTATTACCTTAAGCTAACATGACCATAAATACAAACCCTAAATAGCACATCCTTGTAAGTAGCAAATTAGAATTTTGTTATCGTTTACTTTGTATAGCTGAACAGGTACACGTTCGTTTCTACTTCTTGTGGCTGCAACCCCAACTCGGCAGTAACCGATTAAAGAGAAAAGCCGCGGCCTTCACGAAACGATCGCAAAATACGCAGGCAAAGGCAGCACCACCGACTGGCCGCTCGCGTTATACACACACCGCGTACGTACGCTTCTAGGTGGAGACGGAATACAACACGCGGGGATCTGATTCACACCTGCCACGCACAGCTTGCACGCACGCGAGCGATATCAGGATGATGATGGCCGATCCACGCGACTGGTCCGCTCCCACCGAACCGTGGGGGCCGCGTTACCGGTTAAGGCGCGTCACTGTGTCAGTGATGGCCCAGTTCCACCGCTTGCCTTCTTGCTTGCCATCCAAGCCACTGCCTGGATGGTGAATCACCGACTTATGCTCATAACGTGCGCACACTCACCCCTATGAACTCACACATGTATACCCTATCCCTATAAGCACCTCCGGAAGACTGGGCTGGCATATCTTGAAATTGATGAAGTCACCACAGACGCCTCGCTGTCGACGGGTACGTCGCCTACCACTGAAAGAATAATTAGCCGTAAATGAGAGCCTGTTTAGTTCGGGAACAATTTTTTTTTTCATGCCACATTACATATACGGATATATATTTAAAGTATTAAACGTAGGCTAATGTATGGTTTAATTCCCAACTTTTTCTTTAAACTTCTAACTTTTCCATCACATTAAAACTTTCCTACACACACAAACTTAACTTTTCCATCACATCGTTCCAATTTCAATCAAACTTCCAATTTTAGCGTGAACTAAATACATCCTAATAACAAAACAAATTACAGATTCTGTCTGAAAACTGCGAGATGAATTTATTAAGTCTAATTAATCTATCATTAGTAAATGTTTATTGTAGCACTACATTGTCAAATCATGTAGCAATTAGGTTTAAAAGATTTATCTCGCAAATTACACGTAATTTGTGTAATTAATTTTTTTAATCTATATTTAATACTTTATGTATGTGTCGAAACATTCGATGTGACATAGATTGTTTGTGAAGTGAAGTAAACAGGGCCTAAGCTGTCAAGGCAAAAACAAGGTTAAGCTAGTTCACTCTCTTTGGAAAGTGGAAACTCCATCATCTGGGAATTGGGGTACGTTCACTGTAGTAGGAGACTAGGAGCAGTAGATATGCGGAGGTTCTATGGACACTGTTACTACGAAAAATTAGCTGAAACGTGAGTGACGGAAGACAAAAGGGGTAAGATTGTTACGAGCTGATGAAACGAATCCTGAGTACAGAATATACTCTCTATTTATTCTCTTTGATGTTGATTAGTTTAAAATGAACTAAACAATATCGTAAAACTAGAAACAGAGAGAGTAGATAGGATGGACGGAAAAGAAATACCAGTAAGACTCAACTGAAAATACAGGAGCTAGTCATGTGAAATTGGAAGTGGTATAGTAGCTAGTATAGATCCTAAAAATTCACGGCTTTCTTAGCTGTGAAGGGAGGCCATGGAGCAGCTGATAGGAGAGATCTAGAATCTAAATCTCATAATTAAAGCCGTTTAAGTATCCAACAGTGGATCTATGGAAATGATGTTGTCCTTTCAGCACATGCCTTTTTCCCCCAAGTTTTCTTCGATCGTCCTGCAGCTTGTTATTAAGTTAGCTGTACCAGGTTGTGAATCTTTCAGGCTAGCCCAGTTCGTATCAATGTGACATTTCTTCCGGAGTTAGAGGCGTCCATTTTCCATGCTTCGGCGGCCATCTGTGTGGTACGCTTGCATAGATGCATGTGAAAGGATTGGAATTGCTGTGTTCCTTGTAACTGATGTACGAAAAGCACGTGCCTGCAGCAAGGACGATTGGACGAGCCCTCTCTTGGCCAATAGTAACTCCGAGATTTTGGGCGCGTGATTAACTTCAGACTTTCAGAGAAACATGCATATAGATCTCGGTGAGACCAGGGTTTTCTTTTTCTTTTTAATACGGAGTAGTATATCGAAACAAGCCAATAAAACGGGCATAATGGCACCGCGCGATCGCGTCGCCGCCCCTGATCCGGGTCGGTGCCAATCTCCAAGAATTCCCGAAACGAAATTGCAGCGGCGACGGCGACGCGGCACGATTGGTGGCGTCGCGGGACCGCGGGAGGAGTGGCGTTGGCCCTTGGGCCTCGCGTACGGCCGGCGGACACATGGAGAAGTGCGTCCCCCCGCGTCCGCATGTGCCCGGGTTGCTCTGAGAGAGACGGCAGCCTACGCGTGTCCAACCCGACGCGGCCACGTGAGCCGACGAGAACGCGCGGGCATGGAGCGGTGGCACATGTGCCGCGCGCGCAGCGGCACCAGCACAGCAGCCGCGCCATGTGGGTGGGGGTACGGTCGCGCAAACACCGGTGCGCCCGCGAGATCCCGCGGTGAAACCGAGGTGGGAGACGGCGCACGGGACAACAACGCCCCGCACGGTGGGGCGCCGCGCGCGGTTCTCACCCTCACCCTCTCGATCCCTCTCCGCCCCGCGCGCGGTTCGGCGGGTGGCCGCGCTGCCGCGCATGTGGCGCCGTCGCGCGCCGTGTCCCCCCAACCCACCCACGACTGCCACGAGCCCCAGAGCCCGTGGCCGGTACCCATGTGCGCTTGTTTTACGGTGCGGCGTTTTGCCGGTTTACACGGTACACTAGCCCACGACACAGTACCACTACTCCAGCACTCAAACAAAACTACTACTTCCTCCGTCTTAAAATATAGACTCAACACGATCTCTAATATGCTACTTTGACTAACAATATCTATATAGAAGTAAGATGTTTTAAGAAAAAGAGTTACATATTACGATAGTTTTTTTTAATGACAAATCTAGTAACATCAATTTTACGTGATTATTATTTTTTATTTTTCACTATTAATAGTTAAAGTTGAAATTGTTTAACTTATACACGGTATACTAGCCCACGACACAGTACCACTAGTCCAGCACTCAAGCAAAACTCCATTCTGATTAAGGAATCAGATACGTGCCAGGTTTACCAATGATTCCGGGGACGGCGGGGAGACTCCTCACTGCATCACTACCAGTAATCCAGTACTGCACACCGCGAGTCCGCGACACTCAGGATCTCTATCAAGGAATCAGATACGAGCCCAGGTTACGAATGATTCTGGGGATAAGCAGGCCGCTGGAACCTCCACAATCTAGGAGGACAGCGACACGGACGGGCTACTTTTGCTTCAGTTCTCCGAGTCATCAGCCTGCCAAATAGATTAGTGAAGGGAAGGTACCACCTTCCTTGGATGCTTTGTTTTAGAGAAAGCTTAATTGCAGTGTTAGCACGAGGTCCGATTCGTGTTACCTTTCGGTTACGTGGTAATGTCGGCAAGCTGGACGAACAACGCTACTTGACCAGCTTTACCAGACTTTTAGTTTAACCAAAGGACGTTCTCGTAGCCAAGTAATCAAAGGGAAGTCATGTGTGAGTCACCGGATGCAGTTGGTGATTGCTGTTCACCAAACTCTCTCCTATATGTTGTTAGAATAAATGGGCTATGCCCAATTTATCCTATTGAATCTCAGATGCCCATAATAAGTGTTAAGAATAATAATACCACCTCAGGATTTAAGCGAGGAATATCTCAACCTAAATAGGGAGTTATTGGAGGCTCCCTGTTGACTGGTTGAGGTGGGGTTGGAAAGCCACACGCGCGCGCGCCGGGCCGAGGGAGAGGCGTGGCGTGCGTCACATCACGTCGCTACTCTTTTGCAACCACTAACCCACGTTCCTCCGCAACAGCGCGTCCACGATCCCACGTTCCTACGACTGATAGATAAGGACGCGTCCACGATCCCACGTTTCCACGACTGCCTCTCTCCTAATAGATAAGGAGGCCGATAGATAAGGACGCGCCGTGAGTCCGATCAGAACGATCCGATAGATAAGGAGGCCGTGAGTCCGATCAGAACGTTCCTACGACTGATAGATAAGGACGCGTCCACGATCCCACGTTCCCACGACTGCCTCTCTCCTAATAGATAAGGAGGCCGTGAGTCCGATCAGAACGATCCGCTTGCTTCTTTCCCGGGTGTTAGTTCCTCCTCCTCCGCGCTTGTGCTGCTCTCGCCTCTTCGCTTCTGATCGCTTGCGCGCACGAGAGATCGGAAGGAGCAGGGCCTCCGGAACCACACCTTCTCCTGAGATCTGCGCACCGCCCACGATCTCACGTTCCCACGACTGCCTCCCACGTTCCCACGACTGCCTCTCTCCTAATAGATAAGGAGGCCGTGAGTCCGATCAGAACGATCCGATAGATAAGGAGGCCGTGAGTCCGATCAGAACGATCCGCTTGCTTCATAAGGACGCGTCCACGATCCCACGTTCCCATGACTGCCTCTCTCCTAATAGATAAGGAGGCCGTGAGTCCGATCAAAACGATCCGATAGATAAGGAGGCCGTGAGTCCGATCAGAACGATCCGCTTGCTTCTTTCCCGGGTGTTAGTTCCTCCTCCTCCGCGCTTGTGCTGCTCTCGCCTCTTCGCTTCTGATCGCTTGTGCGTACGAGAGATCGGAAGGAGCAGGGCCTCCGGAACCACACCTTCTCCTGAGATCTGCGCACCGGGTAGGCGGGTGATCAGGTTTTTGGGGAGTGCTTCCCGCACGACTGCTCGTCCTC